ATATATATATATATATATATATATATATATATATAGATGTCACCTATTTATATTAGTCTTTCTCACTTATAATGCAATACCTAATTGTTCCTTCCCTGTTCCGACATGGAGTGCGACCACAACCTCGTTCGCCAAGGAGCTCCGAGCCCTAGCCTCAAAAATGTTCTCCATACTCTCCCTCGGTCTTGGCCTCGACCAAAACAAGCTCGAAGCCGAGCTCGGCGGCCAAGACGACCTCCTCCTCCAGCTCAAGATCAATTACTACCCGCCCTGCCCGCAGCCGGAGCTGGCCCTCGGCGTCGAGGCCCACACCGACGTCAGCTCCCTCTCCTTCATCCTTCACAACGGGATCCCCGGCCTCCAGGTCTTCAAAAACGGCGCCGGCTGGATCACCGCTCCCCTCGTCCCAAACTCGATCATCGTTCACGTCGGGGATGCGCTCGAGATCATCAGCAATGGGAGGTGCCACAGCGTTCTTCACCGAGGACTTGTTACTAAGGAAAATGTTCGGATCTCGTGGGCGGTTTTCTGCGAGCCGCCGAGGGAGAAGGTGGTGCTTCGGCCGCTTCCGGAGTTGATTGGGAAGGGGGAGGTGGCGAGGTTTGAGCCGCGGACTTTTGCGGAGCATTTGGAGGGGAAGCTGTTCAAGTCGAGGGTGGAGGGTTGCGGGGAGAAGGCGCCTGTGGATTAAGTGGGAGAGGAAGATGGAAGAAGGGGGCAGGACGTGGGGGTGGCCCGGTGGGGAATGTTTTTGGATCAAAATGTAATCATTTAGATCATATGTAATCATTTAGATCATGTGGGAATAAATCATAGTTTTTTATTAAATTTATTTTAAGATCAGTTTATATCCTTTTAAGAGATATATATATATATATATATATATATATAAGTACTCAAAAAACTCGCCTGAAAATGTGCTAGTCGATTGGCAACCAGCGAACTGAAAGGCTCGCGACCAATTAAATGTTATTCCGACGACTAAAGGTCAATCCGACAACAAAAGAGCAACCCAAACCAACAAAAAACAAACATTCATGCCAACGACCAAATAAAGGCCTAGTAACCCAAGTGATCTCAGTACTATCAACGTGAGACCATCTCAACAACTCACCAATAAATCCTCAAAAAAACTAGAAATAACCTAGGAATAAGCAAACTGCAAAGTTAATTGGATTCACAGAGCAAAGATCAATCGATATCCTGGCAAAATAGTCGAGTGACATCAGCTTGTTCAACCGACTCAAGGATCTACTGACTAGGGTGCATCAAAGGATGCCAAAATTAGCTATAAATACGAAAAAACGAAGTAAAATAATATCTTGTTATGCCTCTATTATAATAGGAGCACGCATGTAATTTTACACTTTTAATCTTCTATCTTCTATAAATAGGATGTACATAACATGTAGTGGGGTCTTTTTGCTCTTATCTGTAGACACATACTTTATAGGAAGAATTCTCTCCATATCTGTAATCCACCTTTTTCAATATATAAAATGGGTCACAGAGCTCGAAAAAATTCCAATTTATCCCTACAGAACATGTCTATGTGTACTCTTTTTTCTCTTCTCTCTCTGTCTCTCTCTCTCTCCCTACTTTTCCCACAAGGTTCCTATAGCTCTGATCCTTGTGCATGTCTCACAGAACAAATTTAGATTCAACATCTTAAAATGTATGGTGTGTGTGAAGCATGTTACCAATTAGAAGGGAAGTGACATCAATGTGGAGAAATGCATCTCGAAGACACTCTTAAACAGGAAGCATGCTAAAGAGTTCATGCAACAACAGATCTGGAGCTAAAAACATTTTTTCAATCATCTTCCTGGAGGCTTTGGCTAGGAGGCTATGAAGGGATTATTACTTCAAATGCTTTTATGATGCTATCAAATATTTCTCTAATGTCTTCCCAGGTCCAAATGACACTTGGGGAACTTAAATCAAAGAAACAACGCTTACAGCAACCTCAAAAAGGTTTGGTCATCAAAATAGCTCGCAGAGCTCCTGCTTAAAAAATCTTGGTCTCCAAGCTTGAATCAGATAAAGTTATGGAGATGATTCACTTCTCAATAGTGATAAGCTCTGCATAGGGTAAGACACAAATCACTCCAGCAACAAGTCTCGGTGGTTAACCCCGTCAAGGCAGCTATAAGATCCATCTAAATCCTGGCGAAAGATGAGGCTTGACTAAAGTGACAATTCGACCAAGTAACTAAGACTTTAAATAGTGAAGATACGAGCCAAACAATAATATCATCAAACGAACGCGACCAACAACGACGCTATAGATGATTGATCGACACCCTAATAATAAAATTGAACCATAATGTCAAGCATCAAAAAGTCAGTCTCAAAGCTAAACATGGATATAACTCTGGAGGTGGTTAAGTGCCTAGTAGCGAGTCTCGGCGGTTACTCTTGCAAAGGTAGTGACAAGATATGTCTAAGTCCCGACGAAAGTGGGGCCGCGTGAGGTGACAAATCTGTCTAAAGCAAAACGAGACAAGCAGTGTAAGATATGTGTTGGGCCATGACAAACAAAAAGAAGGCAAAAAATCATTCCAAAGGTGCAAATCATCCACCAAAAACAAATACTCATCACCAACCAATTGTCACAAAGAAACAATGCGATATAAGTAAAACAAAATAGAAGCAAAGTTATGGAAAAATGAACAAAAAGCTTCATTCATTTCAAATTAAGGAAATATACAAGTATTCTATATATACAAAAGATTTCATTTACATAAGGTTTACAAAATTTTCCCTCTGGAAAAAATCCCTAAGTATCAGGAAGCTGCTGGAATACCCTCCTTCGCCTTTGACGTCTGAATCGTCCCCCGAAGACCCTGTGCAATGGGTGGTATAAAGAGTGGAAAATTAATCCAAGTGAACAAACTTTGGGTTGATCAGGGCCGATTGAATGAATCAATCGATTGTTGTGATTCTGACCCGAAGTTGCTCACTTAGAATCTTTGCCTGCCGTGGGTGGGAAGGGAGCAACTTGAAGAACTCCTTCTCGGTCTTCATCATCATCTTCTGTGCTTTCAGCTCCCGATTCTTTTGCTCGTTGATCGACAGAAGATTCAAAAGAGTAGCAATATCCTCCTCATTCGCTACCAGTTTCTTCTCAACTATCATGGGTTGCTTCCCAGACTTTCTAGCAAGCCTGGCTGAGGTCTTAACCATTTCCGCAATAGCAGTCAATTTCATCTCAATCTGGTTTAGTGCCATTGACTGGAGGTGAGAAGCCTCCCATGCCTTTAAATGGTATTGATTGGCCTTATTGTACATTTTGGGTCACTTAAATGCTTGGAGAGACTTGGCAAAAGTGTGTGACCAGATCACCTCCACAAAGGCAGATGGGTAGACTTAAACCGACTGTGAACCGCTATACCAGTCCACTGTTCGGTCGATGGATGTGTACTAGCCATCATAAAAGTTCCAGATCCTAGCCCCCTAACTCTGAGAAGGAATCCTTCCTCTTTTTTTCGTATGAAAGATGGGGCAAAGGAGTCAACTCAGTAACTGGCTCCTTCCCCTCACGATGTTGTATTTATTATGGCAATATCGCCTTTGGATCTATTTCATACTCTATCTGAACAATGGAGGCAGGTCGGTTGGCCTTGCTTCTAGCGGACAAACCAATTAAAAAAGGATCATGGCGAGGCAAAGTCGGTTGTGCTTTCACCTTAGATGACTCTCTAGATTCATGTCAACCTGAAGGAGCTGCATCAAGAAGATATGTATCAAAGTTACCATCAGCTTAAGGCTTCCTTGCAATGATGGTTATTTCACCAGTTAAAATATTGTAAATGCATTGCAAACTAAAGTCTATCATTATTGATCACTCGTCGCACGTCGCCATGAACCTCCCACCGCAGCACCCTGTCTGCCGCCATTGCCACCCAGCTCCACCCGCCACCATTTGTCACCTACTCCCCCAGGCCCCCCCCGCCACCATTTGTCACCTACTCCAGCCCATCACTCAATAATGTCATCCTCGCCACCCCCTCCTCTACCTGTCACAACTATAGCCGCCCACCACCATTATTAGCAACCCGTTGCCGACACATTTGATAGCTCGCCGTCATCGCCGCCATAGCAGACAACCCACCTCCAATCGCTTGTCATTATTTTCGTCATCACTTATATTGATTGTTAATTATCGTCTTCCAACCACCACCGCAACTCCCAGCCTACTGCCATTGTTGGCCACTCACCATCATTGTGGGTAGCCATCAGTGGCCGCTTGTCTCCACCCACCGCAAGCATCACACTCATCAGTCACCCCGCCACTATCTTCAAGTTTGTTTGTATTAATTTTTTTTTCTTAAAACTAATAAAAAATTATACATCATTGTGTTTCAATTATACATCATTGTACACTACATTCATTTTTCAACAAACCAAATAGCCCCCCTAAATGAGGAATAAATTCCTGATCAAATTGATTGAATTAGCCAATTGAACCTAACTTCTAGAATCTTGCTTCTACATAGCTACTCTCATCAACCATCTTAGACTTTTCATCTAAATAGTGCACAAAATTTTAGCACAAATGCAAACTCACTAGTAATACAAAGGGAGAGAGATAGGGAGTTACAAGGTCTTAATCATAATTTCTTGCCAGATTTCTCAAATATATAATGATTGGTTGAGAAGAGTAACACATGGTGCCATTTAATCACATAAGTTAAACCATATTTAAAACTCTCCAACCATCCAAATCAATACCGAATTTACAATTCCTTCTAAAAATTCTTCAATAAATTTTCTTAGCTTTTAAGGGCCTGTTTGGGACAAATTTATGTTGTGTTTTAGACTGCCATCACACTTCTATTGGAGAAACTACTTAATATTTTCTAAAAAAATTCCTGTGGTGAGAAGCTTCACCTGATCATTTAAAGTGCGAAGGTTCTAGGAGAATTGTTGTTCGATTTTTTTGATATATTATATTTATAATTCTTACAGGAACTTGCTAAGAATATATTTTTTTTCCATCACAACGTTACAATCACCTTTTTAAAAAGTTGCAGTGACCAAATAAACCCTAAATTTGTAGTTGGTTGGATGTCTCAGTAGTAATGCAAAAAATACAACTAAAGAAAGCCCCATGATCGATATACTTGGCCAAATTTGATAGACCGAAATAACATATCTTTCAAGCAGAGTCGAACAAAAATAGTAATAGTAAAATAAAAATAAAAAAAAAATAAAAAAACATTCAAATACAAACAGCAGTTCCTCTTCTACGAGGAGAAAAGGGTGCTATCAAAAAGGGGCATTATATACATACCACCAAATTCTTACATATTTACATATCTAAAGCCTAAACATTTTACATTTATAACACATCAAAATTATCACTACTCTAACTAATAAAAGATAAAATACATCTTCTTCATGCATAGATAACTGACATATACATGTAAAAATTGAAGCATATGTGTTTGAGAATTTAGTGGTATAAAAAATTTATGTAGTGATGCTGCAAACTTACAATCACTTGGCAATCTCAGGTTCACTTAAATCTCGGTCACTTCGCTGATCAGAGGCCTATTTGAGAAAAAAGCCTCCAGGTTATCAAGCATAAGTTGGAAATGGTCAGCAAATGATTCATGAGTAAAAACAGCACGATGGGGGGATAGCACAACCTTATCCATGCTGAAAAGCTCCTTGGGCACAGCTGGTTCATTCTCAAACACATCAAGCCCAGCACCACCGATCTCTCCCTGCACCAACCTCCTGACCAGTTCATCTTCATCAATCAGAGCGCCTCTGCCAACATTTATTATGATCCCCTCCTTCCCCAGTGCTTCCATGACATCTCTGTCAATTATGTGATAGCTGTTGTTATTGAGAGCACAGCAGACAACGAGAATATCATTGTGCGCTGCTAGACTCCTTGCGTTTGGGTAGAATGTGTAGGAGGATGGCTTCTGTTTTCGGGAGTGGTAGGAGATGATACAGCCAAATGCGTCGAGTCTCTTAGCGATCGCTGATCCAATCCTCCCCAGCCCAACGATCCCAACTCGCTTGCCTCCTAGCTAAAGTACAAAGTGTTATGTGCACAAAAATATCAAAATTACAAAAAGATATTTTTTTCTCTGAGAATAGTGTATCAAGTGTAGCCTAATTCAGTACAAATTCAAAGCAGGAAGGACAGTGTTTGTATGAATGAATGCTTCCCAACGCAAATCATAGAAATATGTATGTTTCTGAGTATGCATGATGCAATATCTTCCTTAAAAAGGCTAAAAACACTTTGTTATAAATGATTGCATAATGTTATAAGTTCTAGTAGGAAAGTATTTTCAATATTATACTAAACCAGAAAAGCATGTAAAAGGCGGCTACCACCTCCCATGTTCTATGAGCTTCAGGTGACCAAAGATTGTACACCAGTCACCTCAAGATTTGTAAGAGCTTCTGGATCGAGCAGCAATGGTCAATTCAACGCTGATAGAGTGGGAAGATGCATTTTCAATAATGATTGGACAGTAAGATCCATAATGAGGCATTAAATCCATGCCAATCTGACCATGATTGTGGGAGATGGCACCGTGATTCATGCAAATGGGATCCATCAATTGACTATACCAAACATAATAGGAAGATTCAGACGGGAATCCTAAATCAAGCCGAAAGACACAAGTTTGGTCGCCCTTATGAAGGATTCAATGAGCATCCTCGGGGGAGGCAATCGAGAACAAGGATACAACAAGAGCATGGCAAGGATTGATTGTGGATGGTTATAGGGAAGACAACGTTTTTGCAAAAAGTAACCAATTTCCCATGAATTCAAATAATTTTTAGGGAAATTTTCATAGCTAGTACACTGTTCTTAAATATTTATATTCCCCACCCCTAAACTTTCATATGTACATACATAACACTTCGGTGATTTAAGTTTGTGCATAAAAATATGTATATGACTTTTAAAAAACGATAATATTGTTATTTTTTATGTGATATTAAAAATTTGAGTTTATGTAAATATGAAAGTTAAGGTGCGAGAATTTAAATACATAAAAATTGTGTGCTATGTATGTAATTGCTCCTATTTTTTAATGCATAAAATTGCCTCTATATAACTGATATTTTCACAAAGTCTAAAAACACCCAAGTGGATATACTCTAATTCAAACAACTACCAATGAACTTTATTATGATGGTTGACATACTATGGAAGCTTAACAGCTATAGAAAGTATCTGATCCTTCAACCCTTGTCAAGAACAGCGTCCAAAGTTTACCAGAACTTGTGATACCGTCAAGCATTCCAAACTAGAAACTCTAGTGAGCTATTATGTCAAAGTACCAAACAACAAACTATTGACATGAATTTCTCAATTCCATTTCTCATCTCTTGTGGTCCAAGGGGATCAATTTCATTATCACATGGAAATAAAATTCCATAATTGAAGATTCGTTAACTTCAAGCTTGACTTTGTGTGTGTTACTATTTTGCACGTGAACGAAGTTTTCATTAAAAACCCTAGATCGTAAGACACCTTGCATCGAATCAATATAAAACTTTAAGATTTTGTTAATATCTATGTTTATTAATAGATCATCAAAATTATGTTATATTTTCAATAGAGCAAGCATTCACCTTATTTCTTCTTCCAAAATAGGCACAAATGTGTTATGTTATATTTTCAATAGAGCAAGCATTCACCTTGTTTCTTCTTCCAAAATAGGCACAAATGTGGGGACTTCAGTAGCTTCGAGACTATTGCCTTTGTTGCTATCGAGTAGGTGGAGTTCTTCCTATGCATTCTCCATAGCTCATAAATAATAGGTTCGGGATTGTACTAGGTCTCCCCGAATGGTAATGATTCGGCCTTCTACCTGAAATTTGACAGAGATGTGGTAGGTGGATGTAATGGACTTAAAGATGTATAACACCGATATGTCAAAGACGGCATCGTATGCGTTGAGGGCGTCAACAACGACGAAATCAGTTGTCGCTATGTACTCGCAAGTTACTGAAAGGGCAATTACTTCACAAGTTTCTTTTCGTCTTCCAAAAAATCTAAAAAAATGGTCCGGAGGTGAAGGCAAGCCGACTATTAGCTATGCCTATTTTCTCAAAAGTTACATTGAACAAGATGTTGAAGGAGCTTCCAATGTCAATTAGGATGCTGCCAATTAGATAATACATCAAGAATTTAAAATTAGGATGCTGCCAATTAGATAATACACCTAAGAAATTGGTCAATCTGCCACAAGAAAGAAGTAAAATTTACAATTGATGTTTAATCAGGAATGATACATATTATGAAAAAATATTACAATATGGCCACAAAATAGTTAAAAGAAATTAAAATTTTATGAACTTGTGTTAAACACTAATGTCATTTAACATGCTCTCAAGCAAAACATCATTCTCAAAGCCGGTGATTGTAATAGCATTACTCTATCGCTATATGTCGTCGTATATTATTTATGACTCGGATTAAATCCAATGTTGCGAAAATGATGATTTGATATATAAAAATCCTTCCTTTATTCACAATCCTAAAGGCAATTATCACCTAAACCATTCTCTTAATCATGTGAAAGCCTATATTTTAACATTCAAGTACAATTTGAGTTTTCCCCACCAACCCAACCATACCTCTGTCCCATTTTAGCTAATGAGCCTAATTTATATTATTTATTTTCCAACTTTAAATATGACAAATAATGAGATACATAATGAAAGCTTGAAAATTAGTGAGAAAATCCTTTAAACTAAATTTGAAAACCCTAATAGAAAAGATTCTGAGTAGGCACTCCAAGTTATCATTCCCTATCAACCTTACAATTCTCCAAGTTGAAAATATAAATATCTTAAGAGCTATAATTTTGTGTTGGTATCAAATCATTTAATCTAAAATTGTAAGTAGAGGAACCAATGTCACTAACAAAACGGTTTGAGTAGAGGACTTCCAGTTTGGAGAAAAAGATATGGTTTAGCATATTTCCATTACCTAATATGGAGAGAGATTTCTCCTCATTATTCTGAAAATCCCGAGTAGATGACTCAAGGCATGGACATTAAGATAATGTTGAACCACAATAAATCGGTTTATGTTTCTTACTATAATTTTTCATACTATTCTCCTATTTTACAATGTTTTAGTTTATTTACTCTAAATGTTTGTGATATGATAAAAACTACTATGATCTCTATAATTGTTGACTTTGATGATGATTACGTTTTGGATTAAATAACTCTTGTTTTGTGAAATATATTGTGAGTTACTTAGCTAACAAGAAAAAGAAAAGTCACAAGCACTGGTATTATTGCTTTAATTTATTTTAAAACAATTAGTTTCCTATTTATTTTTGAAATAAAAATTGTTATTTCTTACATTGTCCACAGATTTTAAATTAAGTAAATAAAAATAATATTTTTCAAAAAACTGTTTGCCATTATTTTAAAACTATACATTAAGTAACTCGCCCGCTTGGGTGTATCATACACTTTATGAATTTTTTTCTTGTGAATTTAAATCCAACACTTAACGTGATAGATCTACATTGCATGTTTCTTAGAGGATGGACTTGCGCCCAATGATAAGTGAATTGTAAAAATATATTATGCATTAAAAATGAAAGACTTTTACGTGATGATTCATGTACTAGTTTTAAAAAAAATAATAAGACAAATATTCCCAAAATTACCTGATGAATATCAAATGTTAGATTTATTGAAGCTGAATTTTTTCAAGTAGAGAAATTTTGAAAGAAATCTAAAAGTGTAAACAATAAAAGTAATTTAAGGGGGTTGAGATGAGCAAGTTGAAAACCTAAACAATATTTATTTTAGTTTGTTTTAGTTTTTTTTTTTTTTTTTACTTCATGATTTTGATAACTTAGTTATTTTTGGTGTAAATATGCATATGATGATTAGTCCTACAGAAAATGAGTTTTGTTCTCTGATACAGGTGTGTAGCTTTCCTTTGAACCCTTTCATTGTTAATTTGATGCATCTGCCTTCATGGAGCTAGCATTGGTTCCCTGTCACTTGATATTTTGACTTCAACTGGAATGTTGTTTGGTTATCTGTTTGGTTCATGTTTGAACTTAAGATGTTAATGGGCCTTGGATTTATCATCGAACTTTTAGCGTAGTACAGTACAGCAGTTGGTACTCAACTTTAAATTAGATTTATGACTAAAGAAGTTTGGTTGTTACTAATTGATTATTAATGAGAGCTAATGTGTGTCGATTGGATGTTATGGATCAACTGCTTCTTTAGTTTTTTGTAATTCTGTTTCAACGTAATCTTCAATTGCTTCAAAGCAATTCCGTATTTTGTTAAGTGATTTTGTTGTTTGTTTGTTTGTTGTTGGTTGATGCATTTTAAGTGGGCAATATAGGCTATAGCACTTAAAATTTTCATCAGTTTGTGGGCACAAGGCTATAATATTAAAAGAGTGGGACAAATTTATAAATAAGAATTTAAGGAGGCATACATGGGATATTTTGATTTGCTTAATAAAATTGACATTTTCTTTTTTTGTGTTTGAGTACTTATTAGATACAAATAATTCCGGTGTGATGAAAATGGTGGCTGCTAATGTTAGGGGAAAGTTAGATTCATATGGCAGTGTGAAGCCAAAATTGCTATTTTGCATTTTTTTATTCTTTGTTTTCTTTATATTATTGATTGATTTGCTTAGGTGATTAAGAACTTCAAATCTTATACAATACAGATTTTCCAACATGGTGTGAGTTTCTAATCCACATGTGATTTTCAATTATTTTAAATTTTATAATAAACTTCTATTTGAGCAGCATTGAATAATCATTTAACATAGATTATATGTATATGTAATTTCATGAAAAGGGGATAAATTTTGTCTTAATTGACGGGTTGTAAATTGTAAAATTGACCTCAAGTGCATTATATTAATTGTACTTCTCATCCTAGCCTTGTATTAAACAAATCATAGACTCAACAAAAGCTGGCATTACAACCCAAAGTAGGACAAGCTCACCAAGGATAAGAAATTTATATCTTGAAGGAAAATGTTGTCCGTCCCCGTCCCCCTTCCACACACTTGAATTTAAACGTAAATATCTTACCATGAGTTCCACAGTCTATTTCAATCAAGATTAATTTCACAAATTTCTATGTTTTCATACCGGATAATTTTTTTATTATTTGAGCTAACCAGAGAAATTTTTTATTATTTAAGATAGCCTTCCTTCTCCCTAGCCTTACTTACAATCTCATTTCTTACAAATTTAACTTTGCTTCTAATAGTTTTTTTATAGCCAACATTCTTATCCATATAATAATAATAATAATAATAATAATAATAATATAAATAAACTTTAAGTCTATATTATAGGTTCTCATCATACAATCCACTTGAAGCACTTAATTTAATCACTAAGTTCATAACTTTATAAACTTCTTTCTCCTTTATATCCCTATTAATGTTATAATACAACCAAAATATCTGAATCTATAAAATCAATAAACCAGGTGATTTTCCTACATCGGCGTTTATCATTACTAGTCTAACATCTTAATTTTTTTTCAACTAACTATAATTCCTTCTCTTTGGAATGTTTTCTCTAGATGTCTGTCGTTAGACATTTTTTTAATGCACAACGAATTGGTTGACTTATGGAAAATGTACTCGAGAGATAAAAATTTATTTACATCGATATCAAGTTTCATACATTCCTTCCATGTGCGTACCTTTTTCAGTTTGTGGCTCTAATCCGGCAAAAAATTTTACAACAGTAGTCCTGATGCACAAATGCATCAAGTCTCCAATCATGAGTCACATTAGGATTGTCACAATAGGATTGTCACGGCGCGAACTTGATATCAATTACCACTCTAACTTTTTTATATCGAAGATTGATTAGTTCGAAATCATCCAGTGATATGCTCCAATTAAAAAACCACCACAAATACCTCTTTAAGCAGCTTCTATAATACATAATTAGTGAGCGCCCTGAATATTTCAGAAATTCTACTATCAAATATGAAGCTACCATCTACCAATATCTTCCAGCAGATGACAAAACAAATAAAGAAAAATTATATGAAAGTTGGAGAAAGATCAAATACCTTGGAGCCAAGAGGGAAATCGTCCGTAAGCGGCCAGAGGCCAGCGCTAACGTATCGATTGGCGGCGGATATACGGCGGAGGACGTCCATAAGGAGACCAAAAGCATACTCAGCCACGTCCTCCGTTAACACGTTTCCAGCATTGGCGACGGAGATGCCTCTCCTGGCGCACTCCGCCATGTCGATGAAGTCCACACCAACGGAATTGGTCACAATGAGTCGGAGACTCGGAAGACTTGAGAGGAGCTTAGCGTCAACGGAAACACTGCCGTTGCCACGGATCAACAGCGCTCGGACAGCACCGGCCTGTGCAGCCAAGAACTCGGGTAGGGGCAGCGGCGACTCCCACGCTTTGAGGATGTGGAAGCTTTTGGACATGAGATCTTCAAGGGCTTGGAAGGTGGGGCGCACGAGGAGGACCGTTCGAGCGTTTCGCTGCAGCTTAGCACTATCATGGGTCATCGACGCCATGTGAGGAGAAGATTTGGAGATTACCGGTTTTTTCTGGGACAACGAATGCTAAACCTCATGTTTTGTTAATTAGAAATCTGAGCTAATCCACATATTGGGACATGATACAACAACAACAAACCTTAATCCCACTACGTGGGGTCGGCTACATGAATTTTTTTCCTCCAATGCGTTCTATTTAGTGTCACATATTGGGACATGATAAATAAGAAAAATTTTATATTTAACTTTAAATTTGATAATTAATATCTCTATTTTTTTATTATAAAAGTAACTAATTTCATCACTAATAATCACTGTAAGTGTTTCAAATCGATTAAAAATGTACTTTTTCAAGAATTTCTGAACACTCTGAGCATCAACTACTTAGAAATATAGTCTACTACTACCATAATGTAGAGATTTACTAAGGAATGTATGAAGGTTCTATAAAATCAGTTGCCCAGACATATAAAAACTAAACTTTTAAGATAAAATTTTGGGGCAATTCAACTTTTGGGCATTTCTTTTCTTTTAGAAATATTACCAACACGTTTGCATCTATCATAAGCTCTCACATAGTCATTTACATCCTTAAAGAGGACATGCTAATAAAATCATGATTGTAATACCTTTGCAGCAGTTGGCTTCTCTTTTACTACCAACACCCCCCCCCCCCCCCCCCCCCATTTTGAATCATGATAACACTTAATGATATCGTTGACATCTTCCAATGGCACACACCTCCTAAGAATTTGGTCTTTACACTTCCTAAAAAGGTAGGGCTAATCCCAAAAGTGGAATATCTTATCTGAAAAGAGCTTTTTTAATGGTGGTAGTCACTTCACAAGGAACGATCCTGCTAACAATGAAGTTTATGATGTCAGCATACCATAGGGTGTTATCCTCAGAAATAGCGAGGAGTTGCTAATTATGAAAATTCTTATTTATGTCGACTAGATACTCATCAGAATTCTCTTACTCGAGTCGAGACAAGTGATCGCCTACCAAATTTTCCGTGCATTTCTAATCAATGATCTCGATATTAAATTCTTGTAGTAAGTGGAACCCATCAGATTAAGCGAGGTTTGACATTCTTCTTAGCCACTAGATGTCTGATAGCTGCGTGATTAGTATATATTGTGACTCATGTCCTTATCAGGTAAGATTTAAACTTGTCAAAAGCATACACTATGACCAATAGTTCCTTCTCTCTAATGGTATAGTTCACTTCAGAATCATTTAGGGTCCTTCTGGTATAGTATATGGCTAGGGGTGTGTTGACATCACTTTTGGTTGAGGTCTAGAAACTTCTTTAGTAGCCTAGGTCTAGCCATAGGACTTTCCTATTGACTAGTCTTAGAAAACTAGAAAAGGTACCTTCACCATTAGAAATTCAAAACTCTCTTCTCTTACTCAACTTGAAATTCCACATATTGATCTTAACCTCTAGCATTTAGTAGGTAAGATCATTATGGGGGAAGTTCAAGAAGAGTTCCTATAGGGCTATTTGGCCTTAGGATTGACCCTGGGTGTTGACTTGGAACTAGGGTACACCATATCTTCACAATACATTGGTTTATGACTCATTTAGAATGGATATTTATCCAATTCTACTTGAAATACCTAACTTGGGCCTTTTACCCCTAGGCACCTCCAATTTGTCTGGCTGCCTTTGGGATCCAAATTTGTCCAAATTTCTTAAATTTTGCCCAAAATACCCAAAATTGATCAAAACTTATTTCAAACACCTCGAATACATCCAAATTTGCCAAAATTGACAAAAATTTCCAAAAAACGGCCAAATTACCAAGATACCCCCCAATGACCCAAAAATCTAAAAATTCCAAAAATTCCTAAAAAATCCCAATAAACCCAAAATATTCCCAATTTCATTTTGTCCAACTACACCATGGTCCAATTTGGTCAATTTTACTATCTTTGATAAAACCCCCAAATTAGCCCCAATATTGGCTAACACCCCAAATCTCAACAATTGAATGTCTTAGATCTCAAATTGGCATCCAATTTTTGTTGAAAACCCTTTATAAGGTCATTTGTGACCAAAC